ATATATATATATATCTCAAAACAAAATTATAAATACCTACAATGAGAGCATCTAATGCTTACATAGTTGCACATTGCTTCCATTCCCTCCCTACTCACACGGAGAGCAACAAAGCTATCATAGACTTATAATGCTACCTAGGAACAGTTTTTTTCACATCAATGACATCATATATGTATACATTGAGTATTCCCATTTTTAGTTGTATATCCTTTGTGACTTCTTAGAGATACCTCAAGTAATCTCTTTCTTAAAGTCAAATACCATATGATTTCACTTATATGTGAAATCAAATGTTCAAAATAAATAAACAAAATAGAAACAGACTCATAGAGAACAAACTTTTTAAAAAGGATTGGGTAAAATAGGTAAAAGGATTAAGAAAATAAAAAATCACAGACACAGACAACAATATGGTGATTACCAGAGGGAAAGGGTGGTGAGGCAGGTAGAAGAGAGTAAAGGGAGTGTAAATGATGACAAAAGGAAGACTTCATTTTGGGTGGGGAACACACAATACAATATACAGATGATGTATTATAGAATTGCACACTTGAAACCTATATAAGCTTATTAATCAATGTCATCCCAAAAAAGTCAATAAAATTAAATAATTTTCTCTTAAAAACAGTCATGAAAAAAAGGCTAAGAAAATGTTCCAGATTAAAAGATATGAAAAATAATGCAACACATGATTACAGACTTTCTTTTGCTATAAGGGACATTCTTGGAACAAATGGTAACATCTGATTATAATTATATATATATATAAATTATTTTAAAAATCTCCTTCTTATACATTTTATTTAACTACTTACTTCCCATTTCTCTTTTCACCTTTTACTCATTAACTCAGGAATATGTTCCTATTTCTTTTACTTCTAAGCCAAAAAATGTGAACACAAATCATAATCATAGTTTATAATAATTAACATCAATGAGGTATGTATGGTATGTGCATCTCAGAGATGTGATTAGGTTTAAGCATTACAATAAACTATACTTAATAAAAGAATAAACTAATTGGCCTATGCCAATCTTGAAACTGAAAAGTCCCTCTCAATCTCCACAAACCCCCCTTTCTCCAATTACTCATTTTTCTTCAGACACCAGATTTTAAGAACAAAGACATCACTTTATATTTACTTTTACTGGCTTACTCTTCTCAACATTGCTTTTTTTATGAAAACATACTTTTCAGGTATTTTGGACTTAAGTTTTTGTGAGGGTTGGCCTTTGAATCTAATAGTCCATTTCAAATATTTTTCAATTAAAAATGTATTCAGCCCAGCTGGTGTGGCTCAGTGGTTGAGTGTCGACCTATGAACCAGAAGGTCACGGTTCAATTCCCAGTCAGGGCATATGCCTGGGTTGTGGGCTCTATCCCATGTGCAGGAGGCAGCCCATTGATGGTTCTTTCTCATTGATGTTTCTATCTCTCTCTCCCTCTTCCTTCCTCTCTGAAATAAAAAAATAAAAATGTATTTAAAGCACTATATAATTAATCAGTAAATGTTTTTTAAATAAAGGTCCTCACACTAAAAATATTTTAAAAATTAAAATACTCTGTAACTATGACTTAATGTGAAACTTCTTTTAGAAATATAATATATTTTGTAGAAAAATATAATGTGACTACCATCAATATATCCTCTTTAGCGGGCAAAGGAAAAAAAAAGAATTTCTGAATTCTTGTAGAAAAGTCTGGGTTTGTCATACTAAGGGGGAATTTTAATCACATATTAAAGCTAAAGTTGAACAAGTCACAAATTTATTCAAACTGGAACTCTTTTAAAACAAAATTGAATTAAGTTTGTACTTATACTATTCATGTTGCAAAATAAAATCTAAGCCTTACCTTAACACAACCTTCCAATGAACTGATTTTAAACACTGCTTGAAAAGGTTTTCTGTCAATGGGACATGAAGCCTGTGTCTGAAAAATGATTAACAATTTATAACTTCAGAAATGTTTCTTTAGAATAAAAATTTATAACAAACACATCTGAATAGGAAACAGAAACTTTTTTTTCTTCTTTCAAAGGTGAAGATGAAATACTTTCTGCCAGTACCATGCCACAGAGTAATAAATACCTTAAATTTGTTGAATTCATCCAAATACTTATTGAGCATCTACTGTATGCTAGGTAAGTGGAATACAATGATGAAGAGAAATAAGATCTCTGTATACCCAGGAAGACCTGCTTGTCCAGGTGATAACTACTGGGCTGAAATCAACAGCTCTATGATTGAAAGTTCTTGGGCAACTCGAAATCAGCTGTAAAAGGAATGGCAGATATAGGTCCCTTACAGATTTTAGTATTCTATGACAATATTGTCTCTAAAAATGAATTATTTTGAATAGGTAGTTAAGCCACAGCAATAAAAATTTTTTAATAATATGAAGAAAATGAAGGATTCCTCTACTCCCAGCAGCCACCTAGATGCTCTCTCCAGAAGTAGTTTCCTACATATCCTTTTGGAGATAACCAATGCATATACATACGTATGTATCTTTTTAATATAAAATATATCTAATTAATTCATAGGCTGATTGAATTTTATTTTTCTTACTTATATACTTTAGTTCATATTACTATTTCAAAGCTGCTTCATTCTTAACAGCATAGTATGCCACAACAGTTTTAATTTTATATTTCCTTTTATGAGTTAGATTGAGCATATTTTCATGTTTTTAAGAGCTATTCAAATTGCTTTTTAAAAAACTATTCATGCCTTTTGCTTAGCTTTTTTTATTAGGTTGCTTGTCTTTTTCAAATGGAATTGCAGGCATTCTTTATAGATTAAGGAAAATTTTCCTTTAATCACTCTGTGATTCTAAGTCAACTTTATTTTGATGTAAATATATTTCCTATACCTTAAAAATTAATGTACATCAGCTATAATTAAGAGTTTCTTTGATAATATTAAATATTTGTATAGGAATGGGTTTATATTATCTAAACAATTTAAGATGGAGTTGTCTACTAGAGTAGAAGGGTAAAAACTCAGTAGTCTATTAAGAAAATACTAAAAGGTGATATTATAAATACCTATGATTTATCAATTACTTAAAAAATGCCCTAGCCGGTTTGGCTCAGTGGATAGAGCGTCGGCCTGCAGACAAAAGGGCCACAGGTTTGATTCCGGTCAAGGGCACATGCTCAGGTTGTGGGCTCGATCCCCCATAGGGGCATGCAGGAGGAAGCCAGTCAATGATTCTCTCTCATCATTGATGTTTCTATCTCTCTCTCCCTCTTCCTTCCTCTCTAAAATCAATAAATACATACATTTTTTTAAAAAACTTTAAAAAAATATTTCAAAAAGTAAAACAGGATTTTAACAATTTAATAGTAATAGTCTAAAAGACCACAGATAGTAATGGAATTTTGATAAATTATCTTATATTCCCCAGTGAAAAAAAATGTGATTTTTACCATTCTGGACTTCGGCACACATCAAGATATGCTTGTACAAGTACACACAGGCCAGACTATGTGCAGCCCTTGATTATATAATACATTTTCACAAAGCTCGAGACTCACTTTGGGAGCAACCAAAATATTAATTGTGTTACTTTTATTCCTCTGTTAAAATTAAATAAGTAGGCCTTTATAAAATGCTTTACTACATTCTGAATTAGGAAATGTGACTTTACTATATTAAATTGGTTCAGACTGCTAGAAGTAAGCTCAGCTTACTTCTCAGTACTATGGGTTTAGGATGCTATTACTTTACCTATAGAAAGCTTAACCTTAAGAAGCTTTATTACAAGTGGTGACAAAGCTGTCCACATATTTTTAATAATGCACAACCAGTAGCAATTCTAGTTCAAAGAACTCAACATCATGAATGTGATTGTTGTTTACCACATTAGCATTTACTGTACGTAATTGTTAGTCTAGGTTATATTAGTACATTTATAATTCCAAAGAATATTTATAAGTAAAAACTTTTAAGTACTTATTTTTACCAAAGTTTCAATATATATTTTTGTTTCTATTTTTAAGGTAAATTTTCATTAACATTCCTAAAAAGATAAAATAATAAATGAAAATATGTTCCCTTCAATGTTTATTAAAAAAGTATTAAGACATGTAAAGGCTCTGGATTTATATTCTATTTTCATAGCCTGTCCTTGGATATTACCTTGAGCAAGTAACATAGTCTCTCTGTTTCTCAGTTACCTTATTAGTGAAACGGAGATACTAATAGAACTTATTCCTAAGGTGTTTATGGGGGGAAAAAGGAATTACCGTATTTGCCGGCGTATAAGACGATTTTTTGGCCCTGAAAAATATGCCTCCAAGTGGGGGGTCATCTTATACGCCAGGTACACTTCAGATAGACTGCCCATAGTGCTTGCCCCGTGCCATAGTGGCCTCCCGATGCCCGCCCACTTCATTCCACATACTGTTCAGGCATCAGCAGCGCTGCTGGGTGTATGCTCGGCTGTTATGCAATTTTGCTGTTATGAGATTTTACCACACTTGAAAAATCTACC